CTCTTGAGCGCCAGCAGACGATGTTCCGAGTCTGACTCACGGGCAAGCTGGCGCGGTCTCCACTCCTGTAGGAAGTTGGAAGTCGAGCAGGAAACAAGTCGTGGAGCATTCGTCTCTCTCAAATCTGCATGCATAAAGTTGGTGGGATATTTCAATGAACAACTTCCTCAAGACCTCAAATATCGTCTCCGCGGGCGAGCTGGAGGCCGGAAACCCTTTCCGAGTCTCACGCCTCATCCGGGAAACGGAACTCTATTGAAAAAATCATCGAAATAATTTTGTCCACCTAGGAATTGATTTTTGACCACTGTGCGTCGGGTCCCTTCTGGTGGGACTCGGTGAGAACGAGCTCACCGAGACCTACCCTCGCAATGAGACCTTCGGAGGCTCGCAGTGATGATCGATCCGATCTTCATCATAAGTGACGAATTGAATTACGGAGCGCTTCGACGCTTCTGGTACGCTCCTGAATAGAGGCGTTGTCTGAACCGAGCCCAATCTAGTTTCCTCGTCTACGCTATGGGAGTCGCTTCGCGTGGTCTGCTCAATAGGAATTCAAGCGGAGCTTATTCGCAATGAATGAGACTCCAATTCATTAGTCTGCCTGCCGAGTTCGTGGCTACGTTTGAAATTCCGATGTTAATCTTCTCCGCAACGAATCTGAAGTATGATGTGCTCAAGAATTTATGTTGGCGATTTTATTCGAAGAGTCCATCCGCACGAGACGGGCCAAGAGGCGAGAGCTGATTAGCGGGTGATGCGAAGAGCGAGCGGGTATGGAGGACAGAAATGGAGACCGTGGGCGTTGCCGAGACACTTTCGTTCGTTCGCGCTTGCACGCTCACGTCCTTGTGCATGCTTTGATAGGCTCTCCTTCCGAAGCATCCAACGGACTAACGGGTATATTCCTCTCCTATTGTCTATCCGAGTTTGAGAAGCTCCTCAAGCCCTGAGTCCTTTCTCTTAGAAATCTCAGCCTATCTATCTTTCAGCTCGCGATGCTCCCCGGGTGGGAGCGCTCTCTCTTAGAGCAGCTTTCTCTCGTTTCGGCCCATCTCGTCCTTCGGTCCTTCTGCACGAACACTCAAGCAGGAGTGAAAAAGCGTATGGAGCAAAAGTTTTGACAAGCCAAGAGAAAAAGGCTCTTTTTCTTCGTACGGGACCCGTCTCTGCCTCTCGTGGTCTTCCCTCGCCTTTAGAACGGTCATTAGCCGTTCCTCTTCCCGCTGCCTGCCGCCGCCGTCGCTATCATCATCGTCCCGCAGTTCCTAGTTGCTGTTCCCCCTCTAAACCATCTAACGCCTTCACAACGATCCAGTTTTCTCCGCCCTGCTCCGACTCCTCATCCGATTCGTTTGGCCAGGGGCTTACTTACGACGCGGCTGACGATGTGATACAAGAGGATTAGAGTAACAACACTGTGTAAGACAAAACTCTTCTCCGCGGTCAGTCCCCTCAGTGCTCCTCCATGCCTCACCCGATCGGAGCTCATCTCTCGAGGCTCGATTTTTCTTCTTCCCAGAGCCATGATGCCTTAGACTCGCCTCAGCTAGACGTATCGAGATGGTCTCCGTATCGCCTAATGTTTAAACAAGAGGCCAACATCCGATTCCGACCTCGACAGCGGGTGTATCTCTTGCTCCGAGTTGACTGTCTCTCCTCGCCGTGAGCGGGCTAAGCGGTCAGAAATTCTTTAGGCGTTTCAACACCTGCAGATATCAGAGATATCGGAATTTCAATCGTCGTTCGACCCTTGAAATGGTTCCTCGCGACATCGGGCGGAATTCTTTGGATTCCCGGTGAACTTTTGCATTTTCTCACGCTTAATACGGAGGCGGGGTCCGTCGCGAACCTCGCGATGAGCCTCAAGCTTCATGGCATGTTCATCCCACTTGGCTCAGGAGGGCAAACGTTCGATTTCAGTCTGGTGAGGATATATCGAGTAGGTTGATTCCCGTCATCGAAGGACTCCAAGTGTCTCCTTGAAGCGATTTTTCCAGCGTCCGAAGAGCGCCAAATTGAGATTTTGTCGTCACACTGTCCCATGGGACGCAATTTCGAATTTCCATTCAAGACGAGCTTTCCCCCTGGATAGTCAACGCACGGCTCCTACAGAGCGTCATCGCCGCTTTCCAGGGCGCTAGGGCGGCAAACCTCATATTTCGGTCGCCGAGTCTCAAAGGCAGCAAACACGTAAGTATCGTGCGATCACCACTTCTGAAGGAATCTTAGCTCCGTTTGTCAGGCAACGGACCCGTCGTCGCCGCGGGACTGGGTACGTCTCCCAATCGACGAACTTGAAGAAGGCGTCGCGTTGTACGACTCCTAGAAGGCTCTGGAGCTGTGACCGGCTCTTACGCCTCATGGTTTCCCCTGGGTTTCGGGCCCGTTGGTCTACGCCATCATCAGCGAGAGCTTCTTCTGCGACTGCTCTGTCGCGATGGGAGGGGGCCTTGCATTGTGCACGCCTCTCTCCGCTATTGATCGTCCAAAAGCAAATCGCTTGCGCCAGCCGAATGGCCCCGAAGGTCATTATAGGATGCAATCGCTCGATTCCGCGGACTCTTCAAAACTTGAACGGAGAAGAGGCGACAGAGCCACACACAGAAGAGACTGGAATGGGAATCGACGAGAAGAGAGCTCCCAGGAAATCTGAAGTGGCGTTTGACAGATAACGGTCGTCGATATTTCCGACAAATGACCCGTGAAGAATCCTGTTGCGTGCCTCCACATCGTCGCCGTTGCCGTCGTCGAAGCGCAAACATTGAATTTTTATGGTTGCGTTCTCTCCTTGCCGTTTATTCCCATCCGAGCGTCTTCCGATCGGAGACGATCGTTGTCAAGTGACTCGCTCTTGTAATTCGAGCCCATCCTAGTGTGTCTGGAGTCTGGACTGAGGAATTCGTCTCCCGGTCTCCCCAGTCGGTGACGAAAACTCTGAGCGATTCCATCGCACTAATTCTGTCCTGTTTGGGATAGAACAGTCGGAACTCCCCGCCGGATCGGGGGGCGGCTTCGTGGGACGACAAAAGTCGGACCACGGATCGTTTTGTGGAAGCCAGTCCGTAGGAATCCGTCCTGGATTACATATATCCGGAGGGAGAGTTCAAGGAGGACCGCCCCCATGATGATCCCACCGAGCTAATCCGTGAGGCTCCGAGAGGCTGCGCAATATTCTAGTGACATGCTACTGTCATAAGAGCTCCTGAAAGCCACGACCATATTGTCGTTCAGTTTTTCCAATAGAGGCTTGAATGTTCCTTCAGATCAGAGAGAGCCCGTAGATCTTCCGTCATTGCAGGAGCGATCTCGAGGAAATCGTGGAAGTCCTCTGGCTCACGGTCACGAAGACTTGATCCGACCTGGTTTATTGAATCCAATGACTCGCGACCTTCGAAGAAATTCCTTCCCCCTGTCCGTCGAGGTAGCTCCGGAATACCGGCTCATTCGGGAATTCAGGATGTCAGAAACGGGGTTCAAGCGGCGCGGAGAGTCTTGCTCGCGAGGATATAAACGAGCTCCATCGGGTATCGAGTTACGATGCGTTGGTCGATGCGCGAAACTAATCGATTTACGCCTTCGAGCCTTGAAGAATCTTGATAGTTTCTAGAGAGGAGTTTCTATGTCTCGAAATATGCGTCAAGGGCGTTTGAAACTGCTCTCTGTATTCGGAAATCCATCGAATCGTTGGCTCCAAAAGTTCTCGGTTGCTCGTCAAGTGTTCCCGAGCCCGTTGAGTCAGCTGACGCATCGCATCAATTCAGCGTACGATTCGGGCCAGCGTGCTGAAACCCAATGAGGTACATACCCACATTGATTAGAGAAAACGTCCAGGCTGTCCAACGGAAGAAGCTTTATTTGCCTTAATTAGATCGAAGAGAAAAATCATCAGCCATTCACATGCTTCCCGCATTTAACAATTCTCAATCAGAGTCGATCTTTCGCGTATTTCCATACTTCCCAGAACTGTTCTCAGAATATGTACAGTATCACCATCTCCGTTCGTTATCGGCATAGAAAAATACAAAGCCCCGAAGCAAAGTCTGAGTGGAACGCTGATGTCGCCCCCACAAGAAAACAGAAGCTGGGCCAACGGTGAAGCGGACAAGTAGAATCGACGAGTAGGCTCATTCGATATCCGTCACTCAATCATTCGATGGTTCCGACTAGTTGTATGTCGCTATTCGCTTGATGGATGTTCCGCGATTGACCCATCGCTCGACCGACCGTCCTCGATGCTGTCGAACGGAAACATCCGGGATTGGTCGAACTATGCGCATTCTAATCGTAGAGTTGCTCCTACAAGGACTCTGACAAGCCCTGAGATCTCCGTTCTGACATGGTCATGACTTGGAACTCATGAGGATTCATTTTCTCCGACCCATAAGTGGTGAAAATCCTTTCCACGCCGTTGTGCTTCGTGTGCTCCTCCCGCTTTTCATTCAACTCGATGAATCCGGCATATTTCATTCATTGCGGCCACGAGCTGTCGGACTCGTTTTGAGTCCTGGCAATCGATTGCGTCGCTCGCTATGGAAATCTTGCTCTCGCTTCTGTTTTTTTAAACACTCGCGGGGGCAACCCTGTTCCTGAACAGATAAGCACGGAAATCACAAACATGCCGACATTCGTTCAAACAGTGTACGTATGTATATTAAAGCCGGGACGTTCCGAGAAGCAGGACGTAGTCAATTAAATTGACGAAAACAGCTGCTTCCTTTTTCCCCGTCTGCCATGCTCCTCCCCCGAAGCGAGGAATACGAATGGAGCAGCAGTCGAAGCTGGGACGCTTCGTCTCCGTATCCTTCATGCTCACTCAGTAGCGTCCGGGTCGCGCGAAATGAAACGATTTCCCCAGCAGAGCGTAGAGAACTCATCGGATCCGTTCAGAAAGCCCATTCCGCTCCGGTTGGGATCTGCGGGGCTGCGTTTTGAGAGAAACGAATCGTCTCTCGAGTACGTGCTCCGGAGATCAAGGAGACCCACAATAATGAAAAAGAAAACCAATACGAACCGATGACGACCGATGCCTATACAACACATCATGGTTTCCTGAGTTCGTTCTCATCTTATATACATGGAATCACAAGAGGGATGACCGTCCGATAGCTTTTCTGAGCCTGGATACTTTACGTCACCGGACGGTCATTGTCAGAAATTACGCGACGCTATACAGTGGATCCGTCACGATCATTGCTATCTAGGTGTTTCCACGACTCGCGGCACCATAATCAACATTCATTTATCTACATGGGACTGAAACATTGTAGAGGCTGAGGAGCTCCGTACATTATATGATGAGTGTAGGGCATGGTTCCTTCAGATACAGATGCCGCTGTTGAGCTTGCTATCATGTGTTCGTCCAACTCTGAACTGCTGGTGATGTAGCCTTTCAGCCTTAGACCATCATCCGGACCTGTTTTGGGGTCCCATTCACCATTTGTCCTTGGTTCAGGGTCAACTCTTCGTCGTTCCCCTGCAACAACATACTGACTCTGTGAGAATATGATTGCGGGGCTCAGAGGATCTACAGCCGCTTTCTCTGCGTTGCCTGCGCTGTATCCCGGCTCCGTCTGCGTGGGCGACAGTCTGCCCGGATATCCAAGGCAATGGATGGGCTTGCGTTTTTTTTCCCCAGCGGAAGTCTCACGCGCGGAGCCCATACGCGAAATGAGTAAGGAATTCTGCATTTCCGCTACAAAGAAACAAGGGTCTTCTGCTCAGAATACCAGGAAGCAACGTAGACCGCATACCGCGGAAGCAGCAGACGCCGCTGCCGATCCACAGACGGGAAACATCACAAATCTCGTGGTGCGGCCGTTGGGGAACAAAAATCATTCGGTATTATGGTCGCGATCTCGTAGGGCGAATTCACGAACAGAGTTCAGATCTCTGAGTGAACCGGAGAGCGTGTTCCTCTCGAGTTGATTCTTTCACTATGAGGACACGCTGATACCGGAGGCTTTCCCTTCCCGCTAACGTTGTACTCGTGAGGCTCCGCCCCGCGGGGAAGTCTCTGCGTCCAGTGCTAGATGGAAGTGTGCTTCATTTCTGCAGTCCATCAAATCAGCTGATTCCCTCCCGGGATGTCGATAAAGAAGCCGAGCGAAGACTGATAGAGTTAGCCTGTGTTCCACTACAACACGCCTAGAGGTCTACTTGAAGAGCAAAGAGAAGACCATTCATGAAAGAGGATACTTACTACTCACCAAGGCAGGATCGTTGGGCGTATACGGTCGGAGGCCTTGGTCCTGGTTTTTGTCCCACAGTGCCTTTTGTGCCGCGCTCGTCTGCAAAACGACACATTGCGATGTGGGGACGGCCTCGTATGTATGTATACGTACGTATGTAGCTTCCATCGCCGCTGAGCCAATCATGCATCACATTTTTCCCTTCGTGCAGCATTCCGTCCAAGCGCGCTGATCCCACACGAAGGCTGTTCAATATATGTACCACCACGTTGAGCTCTGACTGTCTATCCGAAGGCCAGAGCGACTCGCCGGCCCGGCGGCCGGAAGGGCCGAACGACCGACCGACCCACCGGCTGAACACCGCAGTCTGGCCGAGCGAACGGCGGGCCGTTTGTCCGACTGACTGACTGAGTGCTTTCGGGTGACAAACAGGCAGTCAATACCCGGACCTTGTTAACTGTTTGCACGTTCCACGTAACCCTTTGTGTGTGTGTCTTCTAGACTGGACGGAAGGTGCTGGTTCTAATCCCCGACCGTGCGGCAAAGCGTCATGTGGGACTGGCCGTGCGAACTGATTAGTCCATCGTCGACTAGCCCAGACGGTCAGAAGGTCCTGTCAGGCTGGCCGAGTTCAGACCATGTCTTGTTATTCACAGTGTACGGTGGGTTTAGGTGGGCAAACACGGCATCTGCCTAACAAGGCTCTCGATCTTTCTCTCTTGCCTGTCTACCTCCAGCTACATATATACGTACACCGAAACCCCCGGAACAAGAACAACAGCGGCAACAGGAGCGACAACGACGACAAGGGCAAGAGTGTCAACCACGGAGAACCTCCGTTGTTGTTGTCGTTGTTGTTACTAGACGGTATCATTACACGGTATCATAGGTCTGCGTAAGCGGTCATATAATGCCGAGCTACGAATCCCTCAGCCCGGGTTCTCACCTCAACTTTACTGCTGTTATCTTGTTTCGGCTTCACGAAGAATTCGATAGCTCCGAGGAGCAGCGAGAGCAGAAAGCCCCCGAGAACGAAGCCGAACAATCCCGCCACCGGAGAGACTTTCATCGGTGGAGGGGATTCTTCTTCGAGCTGATCCTGCATACAGCGCGAATCGCTATTCAGCCACTTGTCCCGCAGATCGGCGAGAATCCCTGGAACGTAAACAATAGAATTAGCTATGACACTTTGTCATGACAAGAAAACAAGCTCCTCAACGCCTGCCGGGGTCGGAGGACATTCAACGACGACCGATCGAGCTCGTGCGTCGTCGCAATTAGCAACTGATCCCAGTCGCTGCGGGATGATTCATTACTAACTTGTGAGAGGAGAGGAAAGAGTCAGAGACAAGAGCAGAGATCACTGAACGGCTACGGCCTCGCATGATTTTCCAGCTCGCGATACTAACCTGCCTCGCGTAGTCTTTCGATACCCTGGTTGAACATGTCGCGATACGGCGACATCTTCGGCATCATTATCGAGTACGGGGCGAAGTTGGGCGTCAAAACGTAGGCCCGCTTGGTGCAATCGTCGATGTAGGCGGCAACTTGCGATCGCAGTCCGAGGAAAGCGAAGTTGGTCGATACGGCATGAACACCGTCTTCCACCGAAGGAACCGCCCGACCTCGAGGACTACTGAGCATTCTCGAGTAGATGGTCGCAAACTCACCGGATCGTGGAGTCTGTGGAGACAACGAATGGCCATGTTAACTGCCCTCTCGAGGCCATTAAAACACAACTCTGGTTCGCAGGCAACCGCAGCCGCGCAAGCCGGCTGCGTCTTCGGAGGCAACATCCTACATTCTATACTCCATAGCTCCTGTTCATCGTAAAATGTTCGAGATCATGGAACGTATTTCTCCGTTGCCCGATCCCCCCAGCGCTCGGCCGCGTCTGATTCCCTAATCTCGGTCGTGATTGTTTTTCGTAGTTTGATTGTCGTTATCAAGCATACGCGCTTGAGCCGACTCGTTGTCGATGGTGCGTTCCCATGTAAACGACCCGAGCGGCAATCAAGCAAGCAAACAAACAAGGGCGCGCCCTTGCGAGCGTGGGCGCGCGCGGGCCGGAGCTAACCACCCCGCACGAGTTTATTCAAGAGGAAGCGATTTCGTTTTCCGGAACGGCCGCTTATTTGAAGAGCAATAAAGCTCTTTCGCGCTTGAGCTCACCGCGTGATAAAACCGAGCGATCCGGTGCCTGCTTTAGTCCATAAAGAACTCCGAGGGAAAGCAGAGCTACTTCGCCCTCGAGAACGAATTATTGTAGAATTGACTTATCGAGGCCGCCGTTCACTCACAGCGTCATGCTGTGAGCCATGGAGACGGTGCTTTATGGGAGAATGATTTTTGATGGGGATAGCACCTCTGAAGAAGAGTATCTGCCGGCCGGCCGCTTCATTAGAGCCGACGCGTAGCTTCCGACGTGTGGAAGGAATAGGAGGTCGGTCTGAGGCTCGTCCATACAACCACTGCACTCGGCACCCTTTATGAATACATGTACACTTCTCCCCGGTCGAGCGGCTGTATATGCCATGAGTTTATGGCCCTCCGATTTTAATGCCGAAGCCGATGCATAGCTTCATCAGTGAGGCCAAGTTCGCCGTTCGAACGACCGACGAGTCGGCCGTTCGGGAACTGATGTTATTATCATCTCTATCAAGAACGAACAAATTCACGGCTAGTCCCGATTCGGGAGGAGCCCTTGGTGGCGCCAAATGAAATATTCCCGAGAATTTCCGTCTTTCGCTTTTTACCCGTCGCATAGCAACCAACAATGTCAGGCTTTCGAGAGATGCTTGTACGAGTAATAAGATGTGGAATGTATTGCCGGCCAGAGATGTTCCCGAAAGGAATCGGGGTATGCGAGACGGGACCGGTCTAGGGGCGAAGAATCGATTGTCATGAAGGGGGCGAGGAGCGTTCTCCGAGATCCGAGCGAATATCCAGAAACACTTGCGGCCGGCAGAACCGGAAACTCGACTCCTGCTAAATGGGATCCGAAGCGAGAGCTTATCTCCAGAGAAAACATCGGGCCGACCCCGGTCGGTACGAGAACTTGTGGCGAGGCGTTCGCACATTCCGATAAGGTTGAACGAGTGCGTTCCGTCGAATATAACTGAACGCATCTCCATGTGTATAGAATACATGAATATTTTTATTCATGGCTCATTCTTTCATCGTTCCCCGGCCCTCGAGGTCGGAAGTTCTTCTGTGCATGTAACGGGTGCGGCTCGTTTAGGTCTCCGGGTGAGCGGGTGTGGAAGGCGGGAATCGGGGGAGCGGGCGGGTCGTCGCATCGCGGTCGAAACGGGGCTCGGGCGGAGCCTTGAGGGGAGAGAGCTGCAAACTATGAGAATACGGTCGACCCGGAAGAGAAGCGGATAGGGGAAACGCTTACCTTGAGAACTTTTCCCGGGACGACCTCACGAACAAAGCCCACGTCGATTGCGCCGGCGGCTGTGTCCTAGAAGAGAAGCGCGCCGACGCTCAAAAAATATATACGCGCCGCATTTTCGTTTCGTTCAAAATCGCGGTTATAAGAGCAGTAACGCCGCACGTTTTACGACCATTTTAGGAAGTATTTTCTGGTGCTTCTTGCCACGGATGTTCTTTCTGTCTCTACGCAGCTATAAATTCAGTCGTATGACCGCTTTAAGCGGAGTCTCGGCGACCAGAAACAGAATAGTGGAGATATGAGGGTGTGACTACTTCGGTATTTCGAGAGTAGCATGCGAGGGAGTCAGGAGTCTGGAAATATCGACAGTCGATCGGCGGCTCCGATTGTGTCGGGGAGACTTCTCATTTTGAGGGGCTGAACTTTCGAACGTCCAGCTCTCGTCGCTAACAGCGACGACTGTGAAGCAAAGGAGTACATTCTAACCTGTAAGTGCTTCTCGAAAAACCACTTGGAGGCTAACTGACCTGAACGAATCGTTTCACCGTAAAAACGTCCGCACCGAGTCCGAAAACCACGGTTTGAATAATGGCGACGAAAGCGGACACGTACAGCACGGTGATCATTGCCAGGAAAAACCACCATACCAGAAGAAGGAGCTTGCTCGCTCGGGACCTGAAACCGAATATCGTTCAATTCAGTCTATCGACCTCCGCTGAATCGTCATTCCTCGGAAAACAGGCGAGAACCGAGCTCTGTGGTAGATCTTGAGCCGTCCCGAGTCATCTTCTCGCCCGATGCTCTCGACAAGGACGAAATTATAAGACTCGTGGTACCTATTTGTCATTCGACTAATGCAGAGTGAGTCGATGATCTGGAAATCAGAGCTTTCCGTTGCCGACGGTTCCGGTGGGGCATCCCGCGATGAACCATACGAATGAATTCACCACCTAATGGTTCCGCATGCACTTATGAGTCTTCCGTCGTTAGGTCAAGAGCGGAGCGACCCTTCTTCCTCAGCTGCTCGGCTTGCCTGACGACCAGCAAGTCAGCGGAGTATATCGAATGAGAAGACGCTCCGGCGACCGGCGCCCTCTACCTATCTCCTCATACTAAATCAGGCCTGACCAATCTGATTCTGTATTTACATAGGGAATTGCTCGGTGGAGGCTCCGATTCTACTTCTTCCTTTCGTCGTCTGCGGTGGACACAATCCTCCAGAAGCGGAGCGTCTATCGCACTATCGCGGATGCCTGCGTCGTACTCGACAGATCGATTGTCTGATTGGATGCGGACCGCGAACGCTCGAATCCGGCCGCGTAACAAAATCATCGGGGGACTTTCAGCCACATCGTGACGTCACTTACGTCAACCGCTCCGGAGACCCTCGAACGCAAACCCGCAATCTGGACCTGATGACGGCGATGACGTCGAAAGTCAGCTGGACGATTTCCTCGGCCCGAAAATGGCCTCTCGACAAGTGCCAAGAGCTCAGTGGGCTCTCGGGACGCTAGCGGGCAAATGGTCGAACGGACGTCAAGGCGGATCGGTCTGACGAACAAAGAGGACTTTCACAGTGAGTGACCCGAGCGTTTTTTTTCGACGTTGTGAGCAACGATTTCGTATTGTACACTGATGCGGGGAATCGTCTCGGACCGATGGGTTTGAGATCCTCTTGTCTATCGATGCGTCATCTATCGCTGAACGCCGAGGTCCATTGGGGGCGGCGGTGGCTTTGGCGGTGCTCCTGCAGCGGTACCTTTGCGGCGAGTCAGAATTTCCAAGTGATCCAAATCTCCCGCTGGAGCAATCGGCCGTCGTCCACCAGCGGAGGAGCGAGCGCCGTCTGGCCACTCCCGGGAACCTCGAGTGGCGCCGAGAGGTGCCTACCAATGGTTCGCTGTGTCTCCCGACTGCCCGATATCCAGGGGGGGAGGGACAGAAAATAGGGGTCGGGTACAGAAGAAGCGTCAGCTTCCGCCGTATCCACGGAGAGCCAATGAGCGACTGAATAGCGGCTACGGCAGCGTTTATAATAGCTTCCACGCATGCATCCGACTCAGTCCGTATCGCTGAGGGCCTATATATCAACAGCGGCTACTGCTTTTAGTGCTATAAAATATACCGCTGTCATGGCCGACGGCGTACCTTCCCTGAGGTCCTGGACTCCGGCAAAGAAGCGAGCCCGCGGTAAGCCACACGATATTGCCAAAACCGTCGGCGTTCTCCTCGGATGTCGCCATCCTGTTCAGAAAATACGCGAGCACGACGAACGTTGAGTATATGCCGAGAATGCATAGCCACAGCTGCCATGAGAATATGTTGAAGAAAAACGCCATCAACGAAGGCCGACCTGCAATCAAAAGCCAAAATTCAATTCGAGTGCCGCGCGGCTCCACAACTTTCCCGAATATGACGCGTTCAGGGAAAAAGAATAAATGAGGATCATTCCTGATCCTTGATTCCTATCATCGTTCCTCCTCTTCTATTTTCGTTTCTTCCCGTTTCAAGTTGCAGACATATCGGGTTCTATCGGCCACGTCCCGATCCGGATCAACAGGGGCCACATTGTGCAAGTGTGTTCAAAAATAATCGAAGAGAGGGAAAACGTCGTCGGAAGGGTCTCGGCCGAGGTTCGGATTTCCGCTCCCGTGTCTGGGAAACAGAACATACATATGACGTGGATTCGGCGCTGAAAAGCAAAACAACCCATACATGGGCTATTGAAGAATAGCGAGACGAAGGGAGACACGTTCATTCGAAGCAAGAACACGGCGGCGGCGGCGGCGTCGTCGACCAGGGCGGCACCGAGGTCTTTTGAGACCTTTTTTTCTGTTTCACTTTTCCCACTCAGTTGATGTCTTCCGAGGGGCTTCGAAGAACTTTCGAACCGAACGAGGACGACGGCAGCTTCGTCTCCGGTCGCTGGCTGCTCCACCATTTCTGCGTCCTTTAAGCTCCTATGGGCGAACTCTGCCGGCGAGCAAAAGGATGTCTTCCCGATAAAGCAGCGAGCTCTCCCGAAACAAATACAGAGCTTTTCGTACGAAGAGGATTCGACAAGAAAGAAGCCGGTCGGGTCGCTTTCCTTTGTTTTCTCAAAATTTTTCTTTATTCGTTTGTTGCTCGTCCTCGTCGTCGAAAACAGAGAGGATTTCCATCTGGGCTTTCATGCGCCATATCTGCTCCTCCGGACTGTGAGTGTGTTGCATTCCAAGTGTAGTCCCATCGAATGCGAGTCGAGGAAGCTAGCGGAAGGGAGGATCGGGCATAGGGGCTGCATCAGTGGATGTGAACGCACACGGAGGAAACTACTCAGATTCGGACTGCATTGTCGGGTCTTTGGGTCTTGGCTCGCTCATTTTTCTCCCCTTCGGTAGATTCGCCCATCTTTCTGGAACGGGTCTACTGCGAAACTCTCTCCGCAATCTACTCCGGGCACCTGCGTAGATCCAGCATTCTGCGAAGGATTTCGTTACCTCCATTCGATCCCGACTCCACTGTCTGCGGTCTACCGCGGGGAGAACAACCGTCGTGCAGCATGACTCGGCAGCGCGGGAGCAGTCCGCCTGGAGCGCACATTCTCGGGAATGGCCTGAAGGTCTGATTGAGAGAAGATCTGACGCACCCGTCCGCAGCTCCTCATTCGCGACTTTTTTCTCGTCCGTCTCCAGGCCAACCCACGCATGCGGATGTTGAAGCCGTTCGGCATTCTGCGAGACCACTCGGTTCCGCCGACCCTCCGTTTCCCCTTGAGGGTCACACACGGGTACTCTCCATGGATTCCCTTCCGGGGCTCTCAGCTTCGACCTTATTCCACCGGTCTCTTCCTGTTGCGCTTATTCGTGAGAGTTCCGTGTCTCGAGTGACTCTGGATCTGACGTTGCGCCGCGTCACATGCTTGCCGCTTTCCCATGGTCGACTAGGCGTTCATCGACTTCCCTCGCTTTGGAAAAGATATACGTAGGTAGATGGAATCGATTCTTCAGCCGTAGCGGCGGACGATTCCCCGGAGGCAGGGACCTGGAACGCGTAGTTCGCATGCATCACCATAGCTGGTTTTGTTGGTGCCGGCTCGGCAGCCACTCAAACGCGCAAACATCGGGTGAATCTACGCTTTCTCTCCCAGGAAGGTGTCGCATCTGCATTTACATACGCTGCGAGGAAAAAAGGCAGCGCTTACCGCTCGCCCGTCTTGACGAAGCTCGACGCTTCAACGCCCCATTCCTCCGAGAAGTACGACCAAACGGTGAGCTCTCTCGTATGGTAACTGCCCCCGTCCTCCCCACCCCTGGGAAAAGTGTCTGAGAGGGAATCGCATCCGAAAAGTTGCCGCAACCTCCGTCGTTCGCACCTCTGCCACTCCTCAAAACGGCTGAATGACGCTAATTCGCTACAGGTGATACGGTATTCTCCTTCCGCTTTCTTACGCGGCTCCGCTTACGCCGCGTCGGAGCCGTGCCCGCGAGCTGGCGGGTGGTGAGAGAAATGTTTGAGACCGACGACGGTCCCCTCGCTCTACCCCTCTTTCTCCCGGGCTCCTTTCGTGCAGTTCGGGGTTGCTAACAAAGGGAGCTCCCGATTCAAAGGCGACCCGGTGAGCACGAGGAGCTCTGCGACCCGTCGAGCGACCGGGAAACTTCATGATCTGTGAGCGGATGCCAGAGCAAGAATGAGCGCACTGTCGGAATATCGACAGGATCTAAATCGCTCGAATATCATGTGTGTCTGACACCACCAGATCATCTGAAAAGATCCATTATTTGAAAGATCCATCCGAATGTGAGTGGACTACCTTAGAGGACCAGCAGCGAGAAAGGTCTAAAGCTCAAGATATTCCACGAGGCTCGTATATTTTTTCTCTCCTCGATGGAAACGGAAAAGTCCCCTCTTCCAACTTCGATAATGATCCCGCAGCTTGGCTACGGATGGCTCGCTTCTGAAGCTTTTCTCCTAGTCTTTTCCTTCCGCATTCTTTTTTCCCTACATGGGAGTCTGGCAAGACGGAAAGGGATTCTATCGCCAACTTTGACAATACTTTTCCCGCCGGGAATTCTTTGGCAATGAAAATGCGTCAGGCAGCGAACTTCGCGCGTCTGCTGGGTCGGCGTGCAACAAGTTTGAACGGGTAGAGCTTCTGTCAAATCATCAGGCCCGGCGTGGCTCTGTCCGTTCGTGACCGACAACCAACCAACAAGGGCTCATGGAGGCTTTTTGTCCATTCCGAATCATTATATCTGACCATAGATTCCCGATACTCGAAAGCCACAAGGAGAGTCAGCCGCAAAATGTTCCCGGGCAAAAGCGGCCATTCGAAAATAATGAGAACTCCTGACTGCGCCGTCTTCCATATCAGCAGAGCGGCACGATACCGACGAGAAGAGGACGTGATTGATGAAAGTTCGGTCTCTCGCTCAACGATGAACTCGACATACATTCATATCAAGCTTCCTTTCGTCGCAGCGAGGACCGCGGCGAGCCTTTGGCTGTGAGGAACGCCTTGTCTAGAACACTCTTATCAGCATGAGTTGACTGCCAGTTTCGGATAGAGTCAAAGAAATCTGTCTCCTAAGGGAGAGAGACAGGGGGGGCAAAAAACTCTGCACCCAATTCAATGCCCAGCCAGACGAGAATCTCCCAGCACGACACCCGACGGAAGACTTCTTCAAACTCTCGTCTCTGGGGCCTACTACGGTTCGCAGAAGAGAAACACAGCGACGGACGGCCGAAGCAGGAATGAGGAGTCCACAACATGCGCTCCGGATCCATCCCTACTTAGATTCGGCTAGAGCTCCGCTTCCAAGTCATATAGCTCGCCCTATGGACATGCGAGCCCACCGAGAAAAGGAGCCACGACGTATGGCCTCGTCATCTCTTGTTGTCGTTGTCGTCGTTATCCCGCTCGCTCCCTCGTTCCTCCGCCGGCAGGAAGCCGCCCGGCGAGAAGCACGCCAACTCGAAGCCCCAGGAGAACGAAGAACCCAGTGCCAAGGGCGAAGACCTATGCGACAAAAAGATACCGCCAACGATATAGAGAGGAACAGATAGAAGGAGCGCCGAGGGAAACAGATTGTGGCGCAAGTTCACAATTGCCAAGATGAAGTTGCCAATGCGGCCCACTCGCCGGCTCCTCTGCTTGTGTTCCACTGCTTGCTGCCGCTGACTATTCGCGACCCGATTCTTGCCCGTTCCCCGGCCGTTGAGTACTTTACGAATGGCGACGGAGAGAAAAGGGGCGAAGGCACAACGCAGGAAGTCGGTCGCTTCCTCCGCGAGAATTCAGAGCGTACGATGAGGAGACAATGGACCCCTGCGAGGCCAAACGCAGCAGCAGCAGCAAACGTCGTCGACGTTTCTCGAGCGCGTTGGCACACCCCGGGTACTCTCTCGCACTCTGTTGTCTTCCCACGCTCCTTTCTCCTCTTGGAAGGCTGACGGAGCGGCGAACGGAGAAAGTGACATGCCGACGGACCAAAGGACGGACAGACGACACGACGAGATAAATTTGCCCCTTCCGGTCCCATCATCAGCATCTTGTTGAACAGCCTCTGCTCACAACGGAGCGGTCGCTCCGTCCGGCTCTGTTCCTTTGAAGATCGGGTAGACTTGAGATAGCCGAGGGAGATTCTATTTTTCATGACGAGGTCGACTCCACTGAGTGAGTACCGGTCAACAAAGCACGACTGGATGTCTCACGAGCTGGAGGATATCCATTGCTCCTGCGCTCTAGTCGCTCGCTGCCTATGGAATCTCGTCCCGTCCACTAACCTGCATGTGACTTCCGCGACACCACTACGGCAAGATCGTCCATCAAGAAGGGTTGAGTATATTCGACGAATTGTTGTCTCTCCGCCGTCAGGGGGATGTCAGCGATGGCGATTTCCACTTTCTGGGAGCAGAGACGAGAATTCTTAGAACTATCGAACCTCTCTCGCCTTCTATCTATAAATGGAAGGGGCCAGATGCTCCGAGACTTGACGAGTTTATTTTGGAAATGTCAAAAGGAAATCTCGTGGGGGATCGAGTTGATTCCCAAGTCGCTTTCGGAAAGATGTTCGATAATCTAGCAAAAAGAACAACTCCGTAGCTTACCTTGTTTATAACTTCAGACATGAGACCACTCCACGAGCCGTTATCGGTTCGGCCGCCGGTGTGGGAGACAGCGTGGATTTTGTACGCAAACGGTACGACACTTGCCAGCGCCTCGAGCAGCTCGGGAATGAATCCGCTGTAGTCGGAGTCGCTGCCGCGTTCCAGCATAAGATACGGTGGACTCTGCGGACGACGTGTTTGAATATTAATCTACATATACATACATTCGGCTCGAGCACGGAAAGAAGAGCCGCGAGGAAAAGAGAGAGGCAAAAAGACAGACCGACTCCGCTCGAAATCCTGATATGACTCAGCTCGCCGTCCGGTAAAAAAAGAACGACCGGTACCTCTATTTTTACATTTCCGGCCGATCCGAGCTGGCGGCCGCCCGTTTGCCCATTTCCCTGTCAGTCTCTCTCGCACACGAGAAAAACCCAGGAACACCCCCTACAGGACTATGAGAACATCGTTCCTGCTCGGCCGGTTGGTCGGAGCAGGGCAGACAGGACAGCGGAACGCACGTTCCACCGTACGTATTTTACGGACGACAGCCTGCGCGAACTATTCACACATGCCGAAGACGACGTCGATGACGCTGGTCCTCATGCATGTTTATTAGGTGCCTGATTGAAGGGCGCGTAACATGTCCTCTACTCACCAGAACTCCGCCTACGGAAATTTCTTTTGCAGGTGTGATGGCTCCAGGAGCTTTGATCTGTGGGAGAGCTTCGGGCTTGTCGGTGAGGGTCAGGCCTTTTTTCGGGGACCAGCTCCCCAATTTCACATGGCCCAGATGGGAGCCGTGGATGACGCTGATGATGGGTTGGAGTCTGCTACCATCGGCGAGGAATTCGACCGGGCCCGTCTGACCTTCCGGCAGTTTCACCTGGGGGTACACGACGATTGTTTCACACGGACTGTCTCACGCGCACAGTAGCCAGATCGAATGAAGACGTCGGACTTCTCCAGAAACGGAGGAGAAATTGGTCAGTCGTGACCCCATCCTTGACTAAGGAAAGTTCATCGTGTCTCGGAGCGTATCTTCCGCCTTTATTTCCCCTTCGGCATCGATGCGTTTGTTCATCCGCCCTTGCGCCTCCACTTCGCTCGGATCCGGCCGAGCATCCATCTATCTCTATCCAGTCCCTGATTTGTGAATGTCTCGGGGTATGACTCCAGCTGCGCTGTTTTCAGCTGCATTGTGCCCTCGACCTGAAGGGAGATCAATGAGGAACTCCGGCAAACAACGAGTCTAGAAGTCACCCCGTGTTCTTTGCAGATGTCCGGGGCATCTGCAACGCTTGTCTAGTTGCTGCGAATAATTCAACCAGCGAAGGCCGTCGCCGCTAGTGCAGATGCCGGACCGGCTGCTACAGATGCTGGTGCACCTGCTGGCTCACCTGTTTGAGGAGGCCGGCCAGGTATTCGCCTTGTTCGAAGACACGTGACTGCTCCATACAACTGAAGCCCTTTCTCCCTTTGGAGTCATCGACAAGGTCGTTGTCGAGAAGATTGGGTTTGTCCTTGAGCGCTCGCTCGTAGTCCTTGAGCAGCGCGTTGACGGCGTCCAGGAACAGATAGCTCTCGGTTCCTTGGTTGTGGAATGACGTTCTGGATAGGGATGGATGAAAAGTTTCGGAATTAGAATTTATATCCGTGATAGCTCTCTCATTTTTTTGCATGATGTGATTCGCAGCGCCTTCAGGGTTTTTCCAGTCTGCTCGGCTCCCGTGGTCCTACTCCACGGGAATCACCCGAGATTCGGCAAGCGAAGAAACCCATATCGAGCCGTGTTCAACCCCGCAACGGGCGCTCTGAAAGCGCTCACAGTCTGACGCGCTCTCGACGGATGCCACCGAAAAGTCTTGCTACTCCTCGCTAGGGGTTCCCGGATACGCTTCAGAATCTGCGGCGTGCCATGGAAGCTCCCTGAATTCTAATCCAGTGCATGGACGTCGCGCCGCTCAGGGCTATCTGGAACGAAGTTCCAATCCATACGGCGAGCTGCAGGAGAGGTTCAACGCGTGGACTCGTCCATTTACGTGGAGCAGGCATCCAATCTCAAGCCCGACTCTCCACGCAACTGAATTCGCAAGTCCGTCGGCTCGCCCGTGAACGTCCGAGTGACATGCTTACGAAATGCTGCTGGCCCGAGCCAAAGGAGGAATTGAAAGGAGCACTAACGAGTCGAGCGACCATCGAGTCCCACGTCGGTCTGTGATAGGAGGTTCGGGAGGAATAGGAGCGACGGATACCGCCATGAAAGAGTATGGAACCTAAAAAAGAGCGGAGCAGCACCGCGAACACGGAGTATCGGAAGATTCCCGCAAATTCCCCGTGAGAGCGGACGAGACAATGCCAAATATGACGTAGGTCCGCGTGACCAGGCCGCCTGGATCTGTTCCTTGCCAAGAGCTCATTGGGAGGTACAGCAATCAAATCTGCATCGCGGACCAATGCTCGCAAGCTGCTGCACTTCACAGAAACAGGGTGCGGAGTCGTCTTCGCGACAACCGTCGCAAATGTTCGTCCCCACGGGACGTATTTAGGGTGGAATCAAAGCAGGGAGCCTTGTTTTCCGTAGGCTGTCGCAGCTGGGGGTCAGAAAGCCATTCGGAGAGGGTCTCCGAGGAGAATAAGTGTACTCGCTCGCCAGGTGGAATTTAGCACTTAGTATTCCGAAGAATCACCCGTTGACATCAGTCGCGAATTCCAGACGTGCGTCACCTAAGTACCTTCGAGCCTAAATTGAGGGAGAAGCCCGGCGAGCACCCACACCGGAATGGATCGCTCCGACATGTGGGTTGAAGAGCAAACGGATCACGAAGTGCACGGATTCCCGACTCGGTGTTCCGTGAACTGCGACGGGATACGGCCTACCGAAGCGTAAGAGTTCGTTCCAGCTGATTAGTCTGACGATGGGAATTTCTCGCACAGACCTCGATGCATGAGGAAAGGCTCAATCGAATGACGCGCGAGCTCACTGCCGGAAATGCTCGCCGTATCATGGAATTTTCGGAACTTTACCGCAGCAATGCGAAGAATTGGGTAGGTATTTATGCTCATGGAGCAGCGAAAGTTCTGGGTGGCACTTCGCTCGCGATCCTCTTTGTGTTCCCTTTCCCGAGCTCCTGCGAGAGACTGCCTCGGCATTCGCTGTGACTTGTTCGAGTGTTATCGGTCTCGAGGAGAAACAATGCTTCAATTTCCCTCTGTAGTTCATTTTCACAAACAGGTTCAGAGTAACGCCTCTCGGCAACGAAGAACTCATTGTTCTTGTTCCTCATGGGAACGCGCAAGTGTGACTTCGGTCGAATACTGGAAGTTTGCTGTCATGAAAACAAGTGAACAAACAGAGCGGAAAGCCCGCATACTTCACTCACCTATAGTTTGGATTCTGCATCATCTGCTTCTGAAAGCGAGTGACATGCGGGAGCTCCGAGTCCACTAGCCGGAAGGCGGTCACATTGAGACTGCTTCCGGCATCACGGAATCGGATGTACTGCCAAAAGTCGTCCGTAACCTGCAGAATACCAATTCGCAATTTAAGCTCATCATCGAGTACGCGTCCGCCCGGAGCTCACTCGAGGGGCTCATCGAGCCTAATCCGAAATATACTCACCAGGTTAGCGAGCATGAATTGAATCTTGAGGTTCTTGAAGCTCTTCACCTCACCGATCATTCCTGACAGCACAGTCTTCACCAGACTGAGCTTATTGACATTCAGCACGATCTTCTCGATGCTGTCAGGTCGCAATCGACCCAATGACGAAAGTTCCAATACTGCATCGCTGGCTTCCGCTTCTGTTTTGACCCTCATCGTCATCGAGATCTTCACTCCAGAGTTCTGTATCGCCTCTGCGGATTATCGGATGAGCATTAGAAAAGACGGGGCGAACGCGTTGGTGGACGAGAGGGAGAAAAAATGGAAGGACCATTAGAACACAAATCATTCGCATGTGCGAGACAGAGGTGTACTTTGTCGGGCGCGCTGGTCGGGCGATTCCGCCAGATGTTATGGTTGGATTGTGCGTAGGAAGAATATGCCACACTCAAGCCTGCCTGCCAGCCACCCAGCCAGCCAACAGCTAAGCCCGTCGAGCCCGAACGCAGAAACGGGGCAATTCGTAGCTCTCGACGTAGGAAACCTGGACGAACTCGGGCCGCAGAGCTTCGGGTGAGACGGGAAGGAGCGCGTTAAGGAGGCAATGTCAGCACGTAGTCCACGTCGAGCTAGAGTATCCACCCTCCACGGCCGACTGCGACCATGATGGCAGTGAGACAAGGGCAGATTGGGAGTAGAACGAAGATTTTCAGGAAGCGTCCGCCGACCAGAAACCCTTGTACGCCGTCTCCTGCTCTCATTCGGATCATTGTTCTCCGAAGTTCCGAATAATCGCTTTGACTCCGCTCGCTCCTACCAGAATCTCGAGCGAAAGAGCGATGCAAACGAGCCGTGGAGACAAGCGACAGCCTAGAGGATAATCACGGGCTGGAGAAGGTCGAGATAGAAGAGGATCTAGGCCGGAGACGAAAATGGTACGTTCAGGACTACGCACAACCGACCGTAAGACAATCTACCGACGACGAGGAGAACAACGACAACCGGAAGAAAAGCAGCGGCGAATCTGCTCAGCCCAAAAAAAAGAGAATAGAAGAGAAGTCGGTCAGCCAACTTATGGGCTCCGGAGTGGAGAAGTCTTCGTCAAAGTGAGCACAAAAATCACTTCCTTCCACTTAATCGCCATTTCAGTCACGTCTTGCCGAATCCGCTCTCTGTTCAATTCGCGTTGGAGCACCGCTGGCACTCTTGCGCCCCTCGTATCCTCTTTTCTCGCGCTCGTTCCCCTGCATTTCCTTTTCCCTGCTGGCTATACCGTTCCTCGTCCTGTTTCATAGCGTTTAACGAGCGGCTTTTCTCTGCTCCAACGAGCAGCAGCTGGAGAGAAAAAATAAAGCGACCGCAAACAAAAAGCAATTCACCGTCGAATGCGGTGATTTCTACACTTAGTTCAAGATATCACGTAGGGGTTATTCATCATCCGAGAGTTCAACAATTCTGAGCCGATACCGGTACGGAGCGACGAACAGATGTTTTTGATGTGAGAAGCACAGCGACGACGTTCCCTGAGCATCTCGTCTCATTGACCGGTCTTTCAGGCTCACTCATTCAGAAGCAAAGGATCGCGATGGAGCCTCATACATAAGGCTGCTATCGCTTGCTTGTTTGTTTGTCTCTCGCTTTTCCCGAGGGAGTCATCGCGGACTCTGACCCTTATGAGTCGATGAGCTGTTCACTTACCCAAAATATCTGGTGATGCCAGATCGTCGAAAATGTAGGCAACCTGCTGCCATTTGTAACGCCGTAACAGCGACGCAACGGTGTCGGAGAGAGGAACGTACGTACTAATGCCGAACTCGGACGTCGATGCGGCAGTCGTCGACGAGGCCGAGAGCGAGTTTGAACTCGAGGGCGATGACAGGGACGAGGCGGATGACGACGATGATGACGATGAACTTGACGAAGTTAGAGAAATCAGCTGACTGCTGACGAGAGGAATGTGATAATGGGACGAGAAAGAAGTGAGCATTTCGCGGATCACCGCCGGCGAGCCCGGTGGTATGACGAACGCCAGCGCGCCTTCCCTCATCAGTTGACAGACTGCAAAGAAAGAAAAATAGACGACATTACGGTCACAGGGAAAAGAATCGGCTGATAGCAGGTTCTGTCTGTCATTGGAGTTGCGTTCACTCTATCCATGGCCTGGCGTTCGGGCGGACGAGCTGTCGTTGGTTCCTTCCCTCGCCCGCCCGGTCAGTCAGTCGGGCAGCCGGTTCCTTGCATGGTTACCCTGACATTGTTGGACACTTTGCCTGACAGCCTGTTACTCGTGTGACGAATGCGGGGAAAGAGAGTTGACACGAGGTGATAAACTTCGGAGCAAAGCAGCAATTCAAGATGATGCATGCGAGCAGGAATGACTTCCAGCAGAATGACTCTCAACTAGATTTCAGAGCACTCGGAGCTCGGGAATCAGTGCTCGAGCTCTGAAGGCTCATCGTCGAACCTTGGAAGCGCGGGCTCTCGAGGTCGCGTCCCATCGCACGTTCAGAGAATATTTGACAGCAAGAAGCACGACAATGGTATGATACGATCGAAATATGTAGCTACACGTGTTTACGCACGGTAGATATGATACCAGTGCCTCGAGAGTGGTCGAGATGAACGTATTGTGAGGGATTTGTAAGGGATTCTCTAAAACCTAATTATCTTTCCGCTTCCACAGCACGCATTCGGCGAGAATCATCGGAATCTATCGATTGATGACGAGGGAGAGTTTCACATGTGATTCTTATTGCGATATTGTCAGGGGGTGGTGCTCCCATCCGGTGCATATTTATCGTCGTCCAGAGTTGCTTCCAAGTCTCGAAAACTCGAGCTTGCATCTCGAATAATTTTATCCAGACCATCTCTGTGGGCGTTGCCATATTAAACTGATGATGAAGAACCTCGTAACTCATAATATTCCACAGAAGAAGTCCGCTCTCGGAATTCCCCAAAACTTTTGCCAAATGATAGCGCCCGCCCTCTACTATCTGAGCTCTGCGTTTGGCCGTATGGTGTTAGCGTCGAATGATCACATCCTCTCTTACTCATGTTATGCCTCAATCGATGATCCGGGTCTGGATGATTTTTCCCAGATGGAGACGTGGGCTCGCAAATTTCCTTCCTCGGGACGAGCTCGGACGGGGAGAAATTAAAGACACGATGTGAGTTTTGCCGTCGAGTTGAGGAGTCGAATTAGCTCTGACCCCGGCGACGAAATAGACGAATAGGGAGAAGCCGACAGCCGAACAAACAAACGAACAGACAAAGCAATCAGCAGTTTGTGTGATGAAACCGGGGGGTACTTAGCCGAGCCGAGTTGGGCGTCGTAACGATTAACTTTTTTGGTAGAAATTACCATTTGCTCTGACTCTCGTTCCGTGTCGTCTCGGTAGGGATTCTCGGTGGGGGCCCCGGTGGGGGTCCCCGGTAGGGGTTCCTGGTACGCTAGGGGTCCGGTGGGGGTCTCCGGTAGGAGTCTCCGGTAGGAGTTCCCGGTAGGAACACTCGTCGAGGATGGTAGTCGTCGTTGATGCCGGCGTCGCTTCGCAGTGGTAGTAGGTCGCATCGTTGGCGGCGGCAATGACAACAGCGCTTGTAGCTGTTTTCGGTCTGAGTCGCTCACAAGTCTCCTTTCGGCATAGCGTTTTCAGCCACTAGACAAAGCTCGCAACGACGGCAGTTAAGCTGATTAGATCGTTGAATCGTTCTTCCAGCTCGAAGCTCGTTGGGTCCCCGCTAGCGGAGTCTAGGAAAGCCTCCATGATGACGGTCGTCGATTTGTCGACCCGACGAAATACGATGACCATGAGCGGATCCGGGCGTGGGCAACATTCGAACGCAGCGAGCAAAGATAGCTTTCTCGCTTTTCTTTGTCCCGTTGTGGTCCATTGAATCCCGTTCACTTCCGGCTCAACTTCCGGTGAGGTGTTGCGGCGGCGGCGGCCTTCCAACGGTCACCTCGCTCGGCCTCTCTACGTGTACGGCCTGTTCGGAGCCCGGCGTGGCTGGCGACCGCTACAGCATGGCCTGCTGGCCAGTTGGCAAGCGTTCAGAGCACTCTCGATCACCCGCTGGTGGTCTGTGAGCCGATACATCGCAAACCTTACGAGAACTGCAACAGGGCCATCGGGGCCATGGAGGAGTCTCGCCAAATCAAAGCGCCTGAGGATCGGTTTCTTCATTCGATGGAGGTCTAGCCCGGTCCCTGATTGGATGCGGGATTTCGGAGCGCGCCGATTCAGGATACAATTTATCGCCTTAAGGATCACTCGCTGAACTACGATTTGAAATTTACGGAAGACGGCTCTATAAATTATCACTCCAGATGGCTCGACATAATCGAGTTGCTCAGCGCGTGGTTGGAGGCAGCTTTGGGCCGGCTACCAGGTAGATCCGGAAATCGGCTCCGAACAGCCGCACCTGAACACGAGATCGATTACTTCGAGGAATTTTTTTCGAATGAGCCTTTCAACAGGAGAATCGAACGGGAAACTCCGAATGAGGATTATGAAAGCAGAGCGCTCTGGCTTCCTTTCTGGGAATCAACGAGGAATCCGGTCTTCCCTCGGGCTGTACCTCGAATCCTTCCCGACTTCATCGACGCGTAAGAGGATATGTATCCGTCGTTGCCTTTCGCGAGTAATACCGAGTATTCTCCGTCGTCGAGCGGGAAATCCGTATTCATCCTATGGTTTCGCCGTGTTCAGATGCTGCAGATGAGCAATTCGTTGTTTTGCAGATGGCTGGCCATCCTGCTGATCAGATCTGAACAAAAAGCTCATCGCCTGGCTTTCATCGTTAATCGTCTCTGATTCTCTCTGCTGGCTCTTGTGGTGATCCATCGAATTCATCAGTCAAGATCAGTCGGGATCGTCGAGCCTGGAGCGTTGTTTTCGCTTATCAACTCCAGGAGGCTGTTCCGTCCGCACTAAGGACGTCAGAGAAGGTCCTTTCAGCGATTCGTTCATTTCTCTCTGCCGGCTTGTTGAACAGCGGGCGCCTCCACTTGATCAAAGTAAGCTTTTCCCTCGTTTTCTGCTCCACGTCCTCTCGCGGCTATTTATTGGCTAGCTGGATAGACAGACAGATAGATGCTTTTGTCTGCGTTCGTGTGTGTGCGTGAGCGGCGATGTGATTAGCGGAGCGAGTGGGTTCGAATCATTTTATCGGGGTACGTTTCCCTCTATCTCAAACTATGAGCTCCTTCTCTGCTAACAAATAAAGTTAAGACCCTTGCGTGCCGACTGACCGACCGACTGAGCGAGCGAGCAAGCGACCGACGCCGACGGCCCACTAGCCCGTCCGACCCCGACGGCCGGATCTTTCGGTGGATCTGTTTTCTGCCGAGAGTGTCTTACCGAAGACGCAACTCATCGACTATACGATTATTGCATCGTTCTCTCTCGCCACCTGGAGCTGCCCAGATAGAAATGACTGGGTCCTGTCTTTTATCCCGATTCCGAATACTGACCTGCCGTGACTATTTGCAAATGATCGGCTCTGGAGAGTTTCTTGACGATCATATCCACCTCCATGATTTTACTGTCGAAGTTCTTGAGGGCGTACTTGATGATTCCTTCTGTGACCTCTTGTTTTGGCAGTAGGATAGTTCCTGCAATGAGACATTCAACAGCAATAATTAGACGACCGGAGCAGGAGCGAATAATTCAACATCGGATCACTCAATAGATTGGAAGCACGTCGCCATGATGATCGTAAACTCGATGAGACAGATCTGGAACGTGACTTATAAAGTTTGAGAGCGTTGTGCAATGCATCGTTCGACCGACCAGCTGGGACCGCCGGACGCCATAGAAACTTCTCCCCGCCGGACGATGATAACCGATAAGCTTGAAGGAACATCAATAACTAAACAGCACAGTCTCCGCCGACCACTGGGGGCCTGAGTCGCGGATTCTAGTGGTCCGCTTTGTCTGAGACCATCATTATGTGTTGATACAATAGATGATTTAGAGCGTCTGCTAGTGTGGTCATTGTAGCCGCGTCGGTTCTGCGGGCGGGGATGACAGACCTTGGTGGTGGGGGTAGAGGGTGGACGTGGGGACGGAGGCTAACAGGAGAGAACGACGGGCTTCGCTGTATGGTTAAAAGAGGCACATTACCGGCTGAACAAACGCTCCGCTCCCAGTTGGACCCCAGGTGAGTGAATGCAGAAGGGAGTGAGCAGAGCCTCATCATCATCATTTCAGGAACTTGGATCCTGCTGCTCGTACGATTCAGCCCTCGAGAGCGGCCAACTAGCCAACGGACCGGTCAGAAGCACCTCCGCGGTCGTGGTCGCCTCAGATAAAGCCGTGCAGAGACGATGGGACCGAGGTGGAAGAGAGCTCTTTCTGCGTCGCCGTCTTTTCAAACCGAGTTGCCTCCGACGATCTCCCTCCACCCCTCCCCCCTTCTTGCTTCCGAAAAATCGCAAACCTTAGCTTGAACTCATGCCCCACAGCCGGCTATCTCGCGCCTATTCCCAGGCTCCCTCCTCCCGGGGTCCCCTGCCGCCAGACCCGCTATTCCGCTTCAACGTTGTCCTGCCGTATACTTCGCTTCGCCCCCCCCTCTCCGTCCCCCTCGACGTCTTGACCCCCATTATCATTTTGTCCACTCCAGCGTGCTTCTCATTATGCTCTGGCTCCCGTATTCCTCTGAGCCGCTGGAGCTCCTCTATGGTCCTGCTCCTCCCATATTCCTCACTTGTACCTCTGCATCGTTGACGATCCTGCAGAAGTACCTTCACCGTACTCCAGCGTTTCCCTTTGCCGTATTTCGGCGTTCCTTTATTGTCGTCCGCTGCGTCTCTCATTATGTATTTCCCCATTCTCTCGCTCGGGCGAAGCATCCTCTTGCGACCCCCGCCCCCCACAAGTGTCCCAAGATATCCATCCAAACGTCGTTCTCCTGGCGCAGTAGTCGTTCCCCGCCATGTGTCGTTCGTTATCCCGCTCCTTCTTCCAGAACCCTCTCTTCGCCTCTTCTCTCTCCTATTTAGCCGGTTTGTCGCCCACCGGTTCTTCTGAAAGGAGCGTAGCACCCTCTGAAGGGCCGTTTCGTGATTTGTTCTCCCGAGTAGTCCATCCTCCTCTGCTCGTCCGTTGGTCGGTTGGTTTCTCGCCTGGTAGGTGGTCAGGCGGCAGCTGAAGAGCTAGCTCAGACAAACCTCAGTTTTCCAGTTGTCCGTCTTGGCCGCTCTCGCGAAACTTTTGTCTTGTTCGAAGCATCGATGTGCGTCGCAAATGAGCTTCGTTGAGGGCAGACTGACTCGGAGGAGATCGTTTCTGGGAGGCTCTTTCACGTTTGCTCCTTGTCTCATCGGATGGTATCATTTGCCGCCTCGTTTCTCATCTTTTCTCAAAAAGCAAACGTGAGAGATGTGTCCCTTCGCCGCGGCTCCTGGGGAGCAATTTCTCGCAGACAACCGGACGAAAGAACCCGACGAAAGCGGTCGCAAACCCACTGATCGAGCGTCCGAGTCAAGGAAGGCAGCGATGAGCCAGCCAGCCAGCCAACCGAGCGAGCGACCAGCCAACAAACAGTATAAAAGTTATTGGGCTCCAGCGCAGCGTCGACTGCCTTTGACATTTGACAACAAATGACCGAACATTTTACGGCACGATGACGCTGAAGGGCCCCCGTCCTCTCCTTCCCCGCTCCCTCCGCTCAAGCACGTTTACTTTCCAACTCAACGAAACTGCTTAAGACCGGCAACGGCCATCATTTATAATTTGATGCGGACTGTGGGCTCAAGCGTCGTCCGGAGGAAGGTAACGATGAATTGGACGGGAGTCCGCTGAGAAATGGACAACGAATCGGAACCGCTGGCAACGTGAGGAGACCGCTGCATGTCAGACAGCATGTTACTCGGCCTTGAGCGACTTTTTCGAACGGGAGCAGTTCAACAGCCCCCGTTTGCTGAAAGAATAGAGTGCTCGATCTAGAATGGGGCTCCATTGATTCGGAGGGGTTCCCGAGTGGAAGAACGGAAGTCTTTTCCGAAAGAAGGAAGTTCAGCCGTTCGGAAAGAAACTGTAGCAACCTCCGAACCGACGGAAACATGATGCGACACGTGAATGCAAACAGTTGGTCAAGTAGGCGACGAACGTGACGATAGAATCTGACTGCGTCACCTTATTTACATATTGGTGTTTTCCTACCGCAGCAGGTTGGACACATATGCAAAACAACGAACGCTCGTCTGCCCGCCCTCGGGAGAGAGGACGCTACAGAAGTTGGGCACGATGGTTTCTTGCTTTGCTTGAGGCGCAAGTTTCCCTCTAAAAATATTCGTGCTCGCCCCGAACTCGAGTGAACGAGCCATGCTCCGGGGCGAGGGCGCGGAGGGAAATCCGGAAGAAAACGAACACATGGAATCGAGCAGTGGAGTGGAAATCGTTGTCTCTTATCCCCTCCGCTATCCAAACGTACTTCCGAGCGAGCAGGGATGACACACCGAACAAGGGGAAACGACCTCCGTCTGTCTCTGCGGTCGCCCGCTTTCTATGTGTACGTCGAAGACTGTGCGCTTTCTACTGCTTGCGTCTGAAGTTGGTGGGGTTTCGAGTGGCTCGGGCCGGCTCCCGTTTACCAAAGAATGGCGAACACAAAGTGGGCCGAACGAGGGGGAGAGCCTCCCAATATGAAATGCATTGTTGTGAAGGCTGAGTGGCTGACTGCTTGGTTGCGTGGTAGGTTGCCGGGCATTATTCCGCTTTTCTGGAGCAGCAGCAGCAGCCACCACAAAGCTCACGATGGGTAGAAAAGGCACAAAAAAGGAATGGAAAAAATTCGCCCCCGACGAAGACGCGGCCGCCTACAGCCAACAGGAGCCTCAATGGGCGGCTGGGAGAGCGAACGTCACCAGAGCTACGAGAGAACTCCTGATCAACTGGTAGAGTCGTGTTGACATTTCATATCTTGAGTGTCGTTATTGGATTACCTCAGGCCCGACGGAATAAAATTTCCATCCGTCGACGACTTTATCGACTACGTGGATCTCGTCGTCTCTCCGTTCGACAAGTTTGCATACGCATCCGTCTGTGCGCGCGTATGTCTGGTCGGGGACGTGGTGACGCAGCATGGCTGTAGGCACGCAGCTGGGAACGAGTGAGGCAATGAATTCCAGAATTATTGCATGGGCCACGAGCACCGGACGATTGCGAAGTGTTCATGATTTATGGTGGAAGGTCATCCTTTCGTTCTTTGGTTCATACAGGACCATCGGTCTCCGAGCGTCGGAGATTCCATCATAGAGTCGAGGCGCTTATTAGCCTTCAGATTCAATGGGAGAATCCGACGGTACTTTCAATCACAGTACCTGCATGAAGCCTTCATCCAGATAGAGGGACTCGGAATCCGGGGCCGCTGCTGAATTATCATCATTTATCTTGGAATCTCACCACTGATAAGCTGTGAATAAACTAACTGAATGAAATAATGAAAGAATTCATACGCATATGCAGCTACTTCGAACTTCGGGTCTCTGAATTTGGATGGATGTCCTCGAGGCGACGCTTGATTCCAGGGAATTTTTCAACGAGAGCGAAATTCTAGTCTCATGTACATAGATCCGGCCGAGAAAGCTTTATAACTCCGCTTTTCGCGGAGGGAGTATTCAGCATGCACCATAGCGCGTCTAATGAATGCGAGAGATGACTTATTGTTCGCGAGGACAGAAATTGAGTCCGGGCGGTAGGTGACTCTAGTCAGATTAGACGAGTGCAATTGTCACGTCTGCTGACACGGCTGAATAGGGCAGGCTGCATCCGTACTCAATTTGAATCGTTCCTACAACGGGACGAGACCCAGCACCCACAGAGCCCACGTGAGGGGGATGCGACGCAGAGCCGATTCGAACTCGCTACTGCTGGCCAATACAGAGCGGTACAGAATCGGAGAACATAGTTTTCAGGGTGTTCCGAAGAGGGTCTTCGAAGTCTGCGAGTTCGGAGCCCAGGCTCCGGAGGGAAAGTTCGAGGATTTGCGAAGCTAACTGACATTGACGTTGACCCCTCGTCCCCTGTCACTTTTGCCGATCCGAAATTCTAGAGTCTTTGACGTTTCCGTCTGGCGCTCCGTCCGTTCGTATCCCAGCCTGTTCCGAGCAGAAGTGGAGCGGACCTGGCGTGCGCGAGGACCGTTGAGCCGAAGAAGCAGCAGCTGCAACACAGGTCGCAGCGAGGCGAGAAGCGAAAGCCGCCCTTAAAGCCTCGCACCCCCGAAACCCCGTCAAGCGAGAAGCATTCAGGGTAATGATTGCGAGCGAAGTCATTCTTGAGGTTTCCCGGACGGAACGTTCGAGCCAGTCGCAGATATGCAGTCCTAACAGACTCTCAAAACGCGACGTCGCCGCGAGATAAACAAAATCAGCGCCCGATGGTTTCGAAATGGCGCACGGCTGAAACAAACAAAAGACCGCACAAACCTCCAGTCCCGCGCTTTCCGCTCGGCTCGCAGGGAAAGCTAAGCGGTGCCGCATTTACGCCACTACGCTACACCCCCCCGCCCCGGACTCGCGAAAACTCTCCGCGCGATAAGGACTGCAGTATCGTTCGGTATACCGCTCCTCTCACCCGAGACTGCACTGGTGGATCGAGGCGCTGTAGGTCAACTTCCACGACAAGGAGTGAATAGAACCGCAGGCGACGAAATTTTCCCATTTCGTGCCGCTCTCCCTACCCGGCTTCAGACACCGCATCTCCTCTCGGAATGTCGGCGCCTGATGCGATAAATTCGAGGATGCGGCGTCATCTTCATTTGGAACATCAATCCGACAATTGACGCATCGGTTTCGACTCCACTGAATCCCGATCTAGAATTCGTTCCCGCGTGGACGAAGAATCGGGCGCTCGCCCGTCTTCAGTCGAATTGTCTATGAATATTCGCAAGCTGATCATTTTTCCGCATCTCACCCAAATTCTGATCAGAGGAAAGATAGAGACGCTCGCTTCTCAGAAATTTGCCGGTCCTTTTTTCCCATGACAACTCATTTTTTCCATTCTTCTCCTGGCTCCCTGCGAACATCTGATTGGATTTATTATGTTTCCCTTCCGTGCAATCTGACTCCCTTCATCCTCGTGTTCCCAACCGTCGGGGTCCCCTTTGCGGCTGTCGTACTGTCAGGAAAGGAAAATCGGGACGAAATCCTATTGAACAACAACGGAAACAGCAGAGGCAGTTACAAGACTCCGGGCAGATATATCTGTTGAGCTCCGAGTTTGAAAGTCAATATGGATGGCAACGGAGACAGACGGCGTCATTGGGGGAGAGCGTCCTCTTCCATTCTCCGCCCGCAGCCCCGCCGTCTGGGGATTTGATACCTTTGACATATTTGCTCGGCTCCCTGCTCGCTCCATAGCATGCTTGTCACACGCGGAGTATTTTGTCTCTGTTCTTCTCCTCGTCCACGCTTCTTGTCCGTCAATCGAACGTCGCCGTAATTTTGGGGCTCTCACGACTCATCCATTGAGTCTCGGAGTCTCGACTCTCAGCCTTTCGATGATTCCCTCCATCCCACCGTTAGACGTTTCTTCCTCAGGATTCCCGCGAACTTCTTTGTTTTTTTCTCCTCGCTGCGCAGAATCTTCCTCGTTCGTTCACGCGTTCTTACGTCACCTCACTACATGTCGGGCTTTCGTTCTCCGCTCAAAAACAACAATGGCAGCGGGGAAGATGAGTATGAGGATCGGTGCGGGAAATTCTGCTCGTCGACGGACGTGAGATTCAGGATCCGCCGACGCAGAGATGAGCTCAGATAGTTGGGGCTCAGGCACAGATTCGCTCCACAGCATCGGATCCATGCACTGATGG